TGGCTCCCTGGGTCCAGCCCTGGGATGCAAAGGTGCTTTCACAGCATAAAAAGAAGTAGTGTTCAGCATATTTCCTCCTTTGGAATGAATTCTTTCTCTTTTTTTGGCCACTTCCATTGTTTGAATATTTTCTGTATTTTTCATGCAATTCCTTTACTCCTTCCTCTCCCCAGATACATGAAGGATTGTGTTTACAGTGCAGCTATAGATACAGTCAGCACATACTGTGAGAAAGTCTCGGAAGTGCAAAAGGGACCTTTTACAGTGGATTTGTCTGCTGCTTCTATATTAAAAGCATAAAAATCCAAAGCTGCTTTTTTAACATCAGAAATATTACTCCACATGAGCTGCTAACGCTGCCGTGCTGCTTGTTTCACAAAGTGTGATCATTGCTTGGAGTTTAAGTTAACAGCACATTATGAGTTTTGTCGCTGTTGTTCCACCACACAATCTAAGAAGGCTGCAAACCTTAGTAGGAAAATAAGAGAGATGGGAGAACAAAGGTGGTATATCTTCCTTTTGCATCTTCAGCTAATAAGGATTAGTAGAGACTTAAAACTATCACACTCTGTATTTTCTATGTAGTTTACTTGGAGTATTTTGGTGTTTTGGTCCAGTCTTAAGTGTCTGGCTATAAACATGCTGAGATGACAGTCAGATGGTGCTGCTTGTACAGCGGCTTGCACTGGGAAATGAGTATTTTTGGATATGCAGGCACTATGGAGGTACTTGGGCAAGTCAGAGGGACAGACTGACTTTTGCTTGTCCCATGAGCTGTGAAAATCAAGCCTGCTGCATGCTTAACCTACGACTTACGTCAAGCACTCTGCTCCTACTACACATCATTAAATGAAATAAAAAGCAAATTCAAAAGGAAGTGAAGAAGCTGCATGAAGCACACAAAAAATAAGACTTTCAGTGAAAGTGAAGCCAGAAAGTCCTTATCATTTCCTGCTGCCACGGCCAAATTCTTTTCTTGGACATGATGCACAGTCCCTGTGGAAAGGAATACAAGGCGATGGGTAATGTCAGAACTGGATCAAAGATGTGATGAAAATATTGTTAAATATGGATATTTTGGAGAAAACAATCTGTAACATTTCCCACTGAGAAATTGCTTTTGCACCAAAGAAGTTTTTGTTTCTTCTGAAAAAAACTTTTGAGCCAGAAAATAAAAATCAATATTCAGCAAAATCCACTAATTTTACATTTAGTAAGAAATGACAACCAAAAGAAAGGTGGTTTGCTTGGGTTTTGGGTTTTGTTTTTAAGAGGAATTATCTGATACCAGATTTCAGTAAGCCCCAGTTATTAGCTCAGTGGAACTCCTGCTGGTTCGGCCTGCTGTCAGGGAGCGTTAAAGAAGCTGCCATTCTTAAATCCCTTTAAAGACTCAGAATAAGTTTTAAATAGAAACTAATTGCCCCTCTGCACAGGACATGGTGCACCCTGGGTTGTTCAGACCAAGTCATCTCTAGAGTTTTGCCCTCTGCTGTTAACGTCCTGCTCAGCGTCAGGCTCATCAGGTCTTACAATAACACAGGCTGCCAGGAAACGCGTGTCCTCTTTGATGGTTCATGCAGTGCTGCCCACCTACCTGTGGAATGGAGCTTTGCATGGAGAACTTCCTCCTCTCCTGCTTACTGTCATGTCACTCATTTCCCATCACAGAGCCTTTCAGTATTATGCGGTTCAAGCAGTTTGAGATGTGTAATCACCAGCCTGTTTGATCTGAGGAATGTGCCTCTGTGTTAGAGGAACTTTGGTTTTATGTTTACTGACACAAATGAATCCTCACTTGCAAATGGGAAGAGATGGAGCTTGAAATCTGGCAAGGTCTGTTTTTACCCTCTGAAGAGCCTGTGCTTTGCTTGGGGGAAAAGGGCTGGAGTACTGACTTGCAATCAGGAGTTGAAAAAAGTGATTGCTAGAAAACTGCAGAGATTTGAGTAATTGAACCTTGCTCCCTTCCCTGCTGAAATCAGATAAAACAGCAAGAGAGAGGGACTTGTGATGGACACTGCTCACCTCGCTGAACGAACACACAGAATCATGGAATCATAGAGTAGTTTGGGTTGGAAGGGACCTCCAAAGCTCATCTAGTCCAACTGCCATGCAGTGAGCAGAGACATCTTCATCTAGATCAGATTGCTGAGAACCACATCCAGCCTGGTCTTAAATATTGCGTAACTGGTAACAGCTCAGTACAAGGGGGGAGAGGGAGCTTCATCCCTGCGGGCTGCTCACATCCTTCCCATGCCCTTGCCCTCCACATCCCAGACTTCCAGGAGATACGAAACAGACCATTTCCAGCAGACTCAGTGAAGTTCCCTGAGAGGCCCTTTCTTTCACCTTTGCAGCCTTATTTCTGCTTTAAATTGGGGACGTCTATTGACCAAGGTGTTGTCAGCATTCAGAGGGCAGTGTTTGCAAGGTTTTGGGGAGGTCTGATAAGCCAGCCCTTGTTGCTTCTTCTTTAGCAATGCATCGTGCCCTTCTTGGTGGCAAAGTAGCAGAACAGATGTCATGAAACCAGGAGTCATCCAGCACATGTCAAGGGAGGGAGCACTTGGTTAAGGGATGTGTCTGGAGATGGCAGGGCTCTCTCTGACTCTGCTGCTGACTTGTGCGTGTCACCAGGCAAACCACTTCACAGCTCGTATCTGCTAGCAGCTAGTTCAGCTGAAGATGAAAAGCAACTACTAAGCACAGCCCAGTGTAATACCCACATCTGTGATTGTATCAGAGAGCCTAGTGCAGGTTCTCTGAAAACATGAAAACATTTTAAACAGTTCCCTCTGCTTCAAAATGTCAAAAAGCAAAATTAGCTCAGAAATGCATGTTAACCACATAAAGCATATATGTATGCAGAGGATACATTATTCATTACCTGTTCAGCCTTCCTGTCAGCAACACATCTGAAAGCAAAATGCACTGCCAGGTCCTGTATTCTGATGATGTGGGGACTTCCCCATTTCCCAGGAAGATGAATTTGGGGTATGAGAATGATTTCTAATAAACACTCGTAGCAAAGATGATGGTAAAAGGAAGTGCAGCTTTTGTGGGGTTTTTTTGCAAAGGAAAGTACAGTGACTCATGTGTCAGAAGGAACATGACAACCAAAGACAGTCCATGCTCTTTGCAAGTGACCACCCAAATCTCTTCCCCTGGGGCATACCTAATGACAACTAGTTGCTCTTGAAGGCACAAGGTCTGTGGACTTGTACAACTAGGCACCAACATGTCTGTCCTTATGAAATGAAAACATCAATCTGTGATTCAAAAGCTATGCTGGAAACGTAACTTGAGATACGAGATTTTCAATGTTGGAGAGAGAAATTACAAGCTTTATTTTTAAGGGCTAAACTCAGTGACCTACTGATGCAATGGAAGCATAAGTGGGTATGGAGGAAATATGTATTTGTCAGTTGAGCTCTTTGCAAGCAACTCACTGCTATTCACACCAGAATACAAGTATCCACACTTGGAGTTTTCTGGGAAGAGCCCAGAAAGATAAGCCTGAAGTTGAGGGCAATAGAGGCCACAGCGGAATACGAGGTATCCATGAACTTCTGCACACAAAACAGCATGATACAGATAATGTGGTGGGAAGATCTCATAAGTCATCCTTGCTCACTTGACTGGAAAATTAGAGTTCTCAGCGTTCGCTCTACCCATCACCAACCTCCTCCCAAGGTATCGCAGTCTGCACTGGTGCCATTTTCCCACTGGCACACAGGTGATGACAGATGTCGTGTCCTGCTGCCTCAGAGGCTGGTGCGCTCCTGCCCAGGTGCACAAAGGCAGGAGATGAGCTGTGTTTCCCTGCAGTTCCCTGATGTTGCTCACAGCTGAAACAGCGATGGCGTGTGTACTGACTGAGCGAGGGCTGTGTGTGTGTTCACTGCTTGGTGCACGCACCTCTAATGTTCTGTAGATAAAGATGTGACTTCTGTGTTTGCTTAAAAACAATCTGTTCTTCTGTGAGCCATGTTCAGAACATCTCCACTTGTGTCTACACCTTGCTTGAGGGCACATGCACCAAACTGTTCAGCTCATGAGACTACATCTTCATTATGTGTGTGGGGAGTGTGAATTTGTGTGTTCAACCATGGCCGATCAGTGTGGATCGGGTGGACCGGAGCCATGAACCTCTTTTCCTTCAGTAGGTCCACAGGGCCTATGAGCAGATGAAAGTAGTGCTCTAAGTGTTCAAGGAAAAGGAAATAGAGTTACAGTTCTCAGAGCAGTGTTGCATGGACTGTGTGGTTTATAGCAGATGTTTCAAGACATAAACAATTAGGGCTTAATGTATTAATATATGTCTCTGAAAAATAATCCTGCAATATATCATGGGCCAGACCCTTGGCTGACATAGCCTGATATGGTTCCAGTGGCTTCATTTTCAGTTTTCAACATGCTGACATCTAGCATCTTTAATTATATACATCTCTGGCCAGTGTAGAGCTATGTCAGATGGGGATGCCTGGATCTTGCATGTGCCATTAAAATGTGTCCTAGGACCTTCGGACTCAACAGCAGTCCAAAATGGTCTTTTTGGTTGTCAGAGTGTAATTCTGCAACACTGGATAGGCACAAGTGCAGATTTCATGAGTGCATTAATCTCTGCTGTCTAAAAATACTTTAGATCTATCTGACACAGTTACACGGGAGCAAATCTAGGGCAGATATGCCCTAGGCTTTGCCAGCTACAGCTCTGGCCACCTCCCTGTATGCACTCCTATGGGGGAAACGGTCTGTGATCAACAGGAGGCAGAAGTGCTCGAAAAATACTGGTGTCTACAAGGACGGCGTGGTGGTGGCAGGGAGATGTCTCACAACATATTTTCCTTCAGTTCTGCATAGTTTCATTGACTGAGAAAGCCCAGAACAGCTTTGTGTACTATGCAGTGCTTACTTTCCTGTTGTCTTCTAGGAAACAGACTACAGATTGTTTCTTCAGTGTCATCTAATGATTTTATTTTCTCTGCTTCTTTCAGCTCCAAGGCTCATTGAAGAGAAAGTTGGTGGTAAATCTGTCACCTGTCAACAACAAGAGGCCCAATGGTGTTTCAGAGAGCTCCTTCCTTGACATTAAAAGGATAAGAGTGGGTGATAATGTCTCAGTGGGACAAGGTGGACAACATGTTAACAATTGCCAAAGCCAGTCAATGTCAGGAACTATGTCTGTGGGGCAAGGATCACAAAGAAAGGCTAACAATTTAGCAAACAATACACATGTGAGTGGGAATGGCATGTTTAATATGACTTTGAAAGAGGTAAAGAAAGAACCAGGAGAAACGATGTCCTGCAGCAAACACTTAGATGGACAGACATCCCATGAGAACATGTTCCCTAACAGATATGGGGAAGACTCGTGGGAACAAATGATGGATCTGGAACTTCAAGAGCTATTTAATGAACTGACTAACATATCAGTGCCACCAATGAGTGATCTTGAGCTAGAGAATATGATAAATGCCACCATAAAACAAGACGAGCCATTCAACATTGACCTTGGACAGCAGAACCAGAGGGGCCCTGTGAGATCTCTGCAGATGGATAAGATGGTGATAAAAAGTGAATATGCACCAGGCATGAATCAGGCTCCTGTGGGGTCCCCACAGATGAGGCCTTCTTCTACAGGTCCAGCCTTCACTATGGCCACCACTGCCATGTCCACCTCTTCACCCATCCCTTCGGTGCCTCAGAGTCAAACACAGGTATCGCAGGTTTCTTCTGCATCCAGTCGGCCACTGCCTAACTGGCAGGAGGTCTCTCATGCACAGCAGCTCAAACAGATTGCAGCCAACCGGCAGCAGCATGCCTTGATTCAGCAGCAGCAGCAACAGCAGCAGAACCAGACAGCTAACTGGTCCGCTCTGTCTCCATCAGGACCTTCCCCTGGACCCTTCATGCAAGAGAAAATCCCCAGTCCTTCTTTTCGCCAGCAGCAGTTCAGCCCACAAAGCTCAGCAATGCTTGGGGTACCAGTGAATGGAAACCAGTCAAAAGGGATGAACAACTATGTTTATAAACCAACCACTCCCCAGAGCAATCCCATGGACATAATTATGCAACAGAAGCCTCAGGACCTCAACAGGAACTTTATTAACAGTGCTCAGCCACCACTAGAGCAGCATCATGGTAACACAAAGCCTTTGTTTCACTTTAACTCAGAGCAAACAAACCAGCAGATGCCTTCAGTTTTGGGTTCCCAAAACAAGCCTGCCCTTCTGCACTACACGCAGCAGGCACAGGGTTCAGCCCCTGTGCAACAGCCACAGCAACAGCAGCAACAACAGCCACAGCAGCAACCTGCTCAGCCTCTCCCGAACCAGTCTCTTCAAAGGCCACCTAACGTACCCCTAGCACTGCAGCAAAAAATGATGCTTCAGAAAATGCAGCAAAGCCAGCAAATCTCAGGTTTGCAGTATCCAGTCTCTCAGCAGCACAGACAGGTAAGGCAAATTCCCTCTTATCTGTTAGAAAATCATTCTGGTCTGAGTAGTCGAAAGGCTTTTGCAGCCTGGCCTCATTCCTCCAGGGTGTATGGTTGGCAGATAATGGCCATCTCAGCACATATTTCCACAGAGCTGGTGATGGCATGTTTGGCACCTATTCAGGTATATTATGGATGCACATTTATATGTAGTTCAAGAAAGACAAGTTCATAACACTTTTTTTCTGCATGCAATGGAGTATGTCATTACTACATATATTATATAGGTATTTGTCAGAAAGGTGAGATAGTAGAGCAGATACAAGCTTATTTTGGACTCCTATCTAAGTATTCTCTCTTACAAGAATTTAGGTTCTTTTGAATGGCAAAATTTTAATTAATTCCTATAGTATCTTAGATGATGTATTCTACAACATTAGTTTATGTGCCATCATTTTCTTCAGGGAGGCAGGGTTAGGAAATTCTGCTTTTAGATATCTTTTGACTGACGTGACAAAAATACTGTTTGCACATTTGTTATCTGTTTGGCAGAGAAAAACTAGGACTTATCTGTGAGCTTTATAAACACCCATCACACTTCTGGGAATATTCTGTGGATAAAATATGTGCCTAGATATGAAGGTGAAGGTTGCCACAGATATGTCTGCAATTCTATACCACATGGCCAGCTCCCACTGTGTTATCGTGAAACAGTGCTCTGACAAAATCAGTCGTTATAGCTCAGTTGTGCTCTGACAAAATCACTGTGCACCAGGACCCCAAGTTTCAGACCTGCCAATTGACGTTTGAATTTGCAGCCTCACTCTACCACAGAGACTGTAAACCAGGGGCAAACCAAGTAAGACGTATTTGACCATGGGACATTTAAGCCACTCTGAGTAGTTTTGGTGGACTTGAGCTCAGTACATTTGAAGGTGTGGAATGGCAATATAAGTGTGGAAAACTTCTGTGAATGTGAAAAACAGCTCTAAGAACCTACTAAAAGTGAAATCCTGTCTTCCATAAATTTCCAGAGAAGCAGTGTTGTGAATGAATCATTCTGAACTGGAGTTCCTTCACCAAACTGGGTGAACAGTCTGATGTTTTTAAGAGAAGCAGATATAGTTGTGTGCATGGACACCTTCCTCCTCTTATCTCTCTTAAATTCTAAGGCCAACTAACCATGAATTTCCCCAGCAGAAAATCCCTTAGCAAGAGGTGCCAGGTGAAACCTATGGGCCGCTTCGGGTGGAGAGATGTTGCTTGGTTGAAAGATGTTGGAGAATGAGTGTTGGCAGGAAGCAAGCACAGCTTTGCTGTTTTACGGGAGGTCTCTGCTGGCTGTTCCTCTCCGTCGTAGGCTACACCGTGCTTTTTTCTTAGGCACATTTCCCCATACTCTTAATAGACTGGCAGGCGGATGAATTTTAACAGTTCCTTCATTCAGCCATGATGAAGCTTCCAGCAATCTGTCAGCACAGGGGAGACAGGCAGGACTTCTGCAAACACTACTATTTGTCTGAAAAAAAATATGCAAGGTCACATTCTGGAAAGGAATAAAAGCACTGAGAGCAATTTCACTTCAGGCAGTGTTGACTCCTTGCTCTGTGTCCTTTTGGGCAGATGCTTAGGGAGTCAAGCCAACAAGATGGTACTCAGCCATAGTAGTCTATACAAGGTTTATCATGAGTGTAGTGGGATCTCTCACCTATGCAGTCACAAGATCTTTTGGCATAGGAAACTTGTTCTAAATGAACTTTGCAGAGTGTGAAACTTTAGATATTTCGCCAGGGAAGGAGTTTTGCCTATTGTCACTGACTTCTGCAAGTAGTTTTCCGAAGTTCCCTGTCATCTAACCGCATTCTACAGCTGTATCTGCAGGACACGGCTACCTGACCTCCAGCACAGCTGAGAAGCGTAGAAGCTTTGTAGACACAGATTATGGAGCTTTTGCAGCAAAAATCGCTGTTTTTTTCTGTGATCTAGAAGGGATAACTCAATTGTTTTAGACATTCTGAGCAGTTGTTTCAAAGTTCCGCTGCAGTTTAGAAAATAAGGTAGTTCTCTCCCAGTGCAGTATTCTGTGGATGCTGGAACAATACTTAGAAGTGCAATTGGTCTATCAATGGCAGAGTTTTGGAAAGGTCTGAAGTTACCTGTTCACCTGGTAGTATTTATGGACTCCTTTAGCAGCTGCCTGCACAGCATCAACAGCCCACCAACCCCTTGGTCAGCTCTTGCTTGCTCCATAAATGCAGTCTGAATGCTAAACCAGAGTGGGAGGAGACACTGCTAGTCCTATTTTCCAATGAAGACAACAAAAGCCAAAACAACCTCACAGGTCAACACTCACTGATTTTAGCAATGGGGGCATCACCTCATTTAGGCTGCACAGTTTTCTTTCCTGGAGGTTCATCTCCTACCTCTAAGGATTCCTACACATCATTAACAGTAATGCATGATTAATTACCATCATTTACTAATTAACTCCATGCTTAACATTTACTTTACTCGTGCCCTATTTCTTCATGATGAAGCAAGGTTTGATTCTACTTTGTGTAATTCAGCTCATCCTCAGAGCATTGTAGTTTTCAAATGTAAGGACCCTCTCAAATTGGCTGGAAGGCTTTGCTGCTGGAACTGTGAGTGCACATTCATATAGGGCTGCTGTGACATTGCCATCAGATAGCACTGACTGGAATGTTATAAATTCACATTTTTACCTGAACCAGCTCACACTCTATATTTTTACTCTAAAGATCCCCCAAAACCATTTGAAATTGGCTTTATCAGCCCAAGCTGGCTAACTGGAAATGTAAAGCTTGTAATTCCTCTGCTTGTCACATTCACTTTGTGTCAAATTGGAGCAAACTTATAGTGGGATTTGGTAATTAGATGTCTTTTCCCTCCACAGAAGAGTCATAAAAATGATGGAAATCATCTTGGTTTCCTGGAAGACTGATCTGAATAAAGGGTTTGTTTGCATATTTGCTTTATTCTCCATTGTTGTGGGAAAGAGTCACATTTCCATTGTCTATCAGGATGCAACAGATGAAAAACTCTCAGAAATTGAACACTTTTTTTGTTTAGGGAATAATTAGAAACTCCACATTCTGCACAGGTTTAATCAGGTTTGCAGTATTTGTACAAACCCTGGATTGGTGTGGGGAAAATCTGTAACTGGACTTGGGTAGAAGTTTAAAGTCTGACTTTCCCCTTGAGATGAAATGTAGTCCAATCAGAGAAAGATGCTTCTGAAGCAAGATTTAAGGGTTTTGAACAAAAATTTTGTCGTTTTTAATTAGCATAAAAAAATTTCACAGGTATTTTCAAAGTTTTGATCAGCCATGAGACTTCTTCAGTAGGACCCATTAGTCTGCTGTGAAGAAGTAAAAAAACAATTGGAAAAAAAAAAAAAAAGAAAATAAAAAGCTGTATCTGCTAAATAAAATATTATTCATCCCTTTCTGGTTTTGACCTAAAGCCAAATTAAACTCAAAGATTTCAAGCTGACTTTTTCTCCAGATTTTCTTATTCAACTTCATTCACTCAAGGGAGGGAGGAAAGAAGGCTGAGCTCATGAGAACGGCAACCCTAATGAAGTAAGGCCACTCTATCTGCTATATGGGAGCATGTACTGTATTTAGTTTTGGCTTTGGGGGCAAGGATAACGCAAGGGTTCATGAGAGCTTCAGCCCCCACTTTACCAGAACGACCAGTGGTCCTTATTTTTAAGGCTCTGGAAGCGTCAGTGTTGTGTGTATAGTTACAATCCACAAGTGTTTCCTTGTGCAGTGTTTGAGTCCTTGTTCCTTTATAATTGCTTTGTGGATGGGATCATGGGGTCATATAATCATGGAATGGTTTGGGGTAGAAGGGACCTTAAAGCTCATCCAGTTCCAACCCCCTGCCATGGGCAGGGACACCTTCCATTAGACCAGGTTGCTCCAAGCCCCATCCAGCCTGGCCTTGAACACTGCCAGGGATGGGGCAGCCACAGCTTCTCTGAGCACCCTGTGCCAGTGTCTCACCACCCTCACAAAGAAGAACTTCTGAAGATCTAATCTAAATCTACTCTCTTTCAGTTTAAAGCCATTTTTTGCCCTTACTTGCCTTAACTGGGGCAAGCCTTAAATCATTTTCTTCACCAGGTCTTAACAGGTTCCCTTTAAATCCAACCAGTCTCCCTTCCTACGAATCCTGAGTGTTCCCTTCTCCAGTACCTGCTCCAAGCATTAGTGTCCCATACTTGCCTCTTCCCTCATGCTCTCCCAGAGGAAGGCTTTGCATTTTGCTGCATGAGGCAAATGGCCTTTCAGGTGCTCCATGATCCCGGGACACAGCATGGATTTGGACTGGAGAAAGGCCACAGCACTGCACCAAGGGATGTGCCACCAATCAGGAGCTTCTGCTCCAAGTGCTGGAGGGACCCCACCTTGCAGGCCTCTTCCATAACTGCCTTCAAATGCCCAGTAAATCAGTGCTTACCTGAAATATATGCAAGGGATACAGATAGTAATTCAACTAACCTGGCAGCTTGGCAGAGATGCTGTGACAGATTATCCTCTCATTTTCTCTGGTGTAAACTTAAGGTAATTCCATGTAATTGGACTTAGAGCAGCGTACTAAGCAGCAGGATGTGACTTTCTATATGTGTTTTTTTTTTTGAAGCATGGGCACCATACGGATTGAATAAAAGGTGTATGTTGAACTGTCAGATGGTTATAAAGTGCTATGGGAGGAAGAAGCATCAGGAACAAAAGATCTAATGGCTCTTTTGAAAGTGCAGATATAAAAACTCTTGTTATCATACACTGCTGAGTGATAACTTACACCTCTCATTCAGCCTCCGAAATTCCACAAAGAAAATGCGGCTCCTTTGGATGACTCATATCAAACCAATGTTTTCCTAGACCTTTGTGTTTACCACTGAAGACGAAGCGAAGAGCACATTTTGGTGAGGCGACCTCTCTGTTTTCAAGTGTGAAGGAATTATTTTGCAAATATTTGTGCAATGAA